GAATAACTGGCCAGTGTAGACACATCCTATGAGCAACAAATCACCCAAGGTAGCCTCCCCATGTGAATAGAAAGGAAGCGAAATAAGAAGGGTCCTTTTTAAAGTGTAGGCCCTTTGGCCCAGCCCCTCAGAAAGGTTAGATGCCTCATGCCCATTGATCTCAGTCTCAGGGATAGATTTCAACAGGCGCTAGGCGCCCAAAAGCCACTGAGGAAGCCCTCTAGACAGCCACAACTGCAAACTCTTACTAAGGGCTTGTCTACACAGACAGCACTGCACTGAAGAGGTGTGGCATGCGTCTGCTGTAGTGAAGATGCTACAATGTGGTGGGGAGGAAGAGGGGCTTCCATTGTTGCAGTTAATCCACTTCCACCAGAGGTGTTAGCTCTATTGATGGGACATGTAGAGTTGTCCACACCAGAGGTTAGATCAGTCAGTCTGTCTACATGGGTTGTGGATTTTTCACTCTCCTGAGCAATGGAGTTACAGCAACATCAGTCAGTGTGGAGCTGGCCTAAGAGACACATGGTTGGGGAGATCATAGAATCAGAACTGGAAGGGACCTCGAGAGGTCATCCTGCCCCCATGGCAGGACCAAGCACCATCTAGATTGGGGTCTCCAACCTTTTTAAGCACAAGGTCACTTTTTTAATGTAAGTGCAATCCAAGATCTACCTAAAACCCAAATACTCTTGCCAGGCCTCCTTCCTGCCCCTTCTCCAAGGCCTTGCCCCTGCTCACTCAATCCTCCCTCTCTCCCTCCCCCATTCTCCTTCCCTTTCCTCAGGCAAGGGCAAAGGGTTGGGATGCAGGCTCTAGTCTTGGGAATGTGAGGGGGGCTCTCAGCTGAGCCTGCAGCAGGGAGTTGGGATGCAGGAGGGGGTCCAGGGTACAGGCTCTGTAAGGAGTTTGACTCCAGGGGGCTCAGGGCTTGGAGTGTAAGAGGAGGTTCATGACTGGGGCAGGGGTTCAGAGCTGGCTCCAGCTGGGCCCTGCTTACCTCAGGTGGCTCCTGGGTGATGGTGCAGTGGGGCTAAGGCAGGCTCACCCCTGCCCTGGCCCTGCCCCACTCTCAAAAGCAGCCAGCAAACTCCCTCCATCCCAAGCCCTGTTGTCCCGCCCCCTCCCCCATTCTGTGATGATAGGATACAGGGTAGGAGAGGGGGCACCTTGACATCCACACCCCCTCCTTTCCCTTCCCTGCTCTGCACAGAAAGCAGGAGGCTCCCAGGGCATGGAGACTCCCAAGGCAAAGGGCAGGAGGTGTGCAGCAGTGGGGGAGAGGGGCAGCTGAAGTGCTGCACTTGACAGCCTCTTGGCCAAACCGGTCAGGATCACGTCAGAGGCTCCAAGATCTACCGGTAGATCCCAATCTGGTGACCACTGTTCTAGATCATCCCTGATGTCTGTACAACCTGCTCTTGAATAGCTCTAGTGATGGAAATTCCACAATCTCCCTAGGCAATTGATTCCAGTGTTTAACCAGTTAGGTAGTTTTTCCTAATGTCCAACCTAAACCTCCCTTGCTGCAATTTAAGCCAATTGCTTCTTGTCCTACCCTCAGAGGCCAAGGAGAACAATTTTTTCCCTCCTCCTTATAACACACTTTTAGATACTTGAAAACCACAATCACATCCCCTCTCAGTCTTCTCTTTTCTGAACTAAACAAGCCCAGTTCTTTCAGTCTTAGGAGAGGTGATCTCTTGCAATGCACCAACTTACCCTGCTAGTAGGAACAAGCTTTTGATCATCACAGAAGCTCTGGGCTCTTCTTCAGGTCTGAGGAATGCCCAAGATGAATACCAGGTGGGGCAGATAGTTAAGCAGAAGGGTTCACAGGAGTAGCAGGAGACTACTTAACAGGAAGTAGGCCATTCACATCTCCAAAGTGGGGGGCAGCCGTCAGCTGGCCAGCAGCAGTGGGTGTTGCACATGATTGCAGTAGCCCATAAAATCAGTGCCCCCAATTCTAGGAGTTATGGATTTCAGGCTTGGGGTTTTAAGATCTGGAGCAGGTTTCCTTTAAGGGCAAGGCTGGAGCAATGCAAAATAGAGGGGCAGCTGTGTGGAAGGGTTTGCCCACAGGTGACAGGGTGTTTGTTATCATTCTTCTCCATGAGTTCCTTTGCATGGGTAGATTGCCTGGTTTCACCCACCAGGCAGTGGTTGGGCCAGCTGATGCACTGAATGAGATACAGCCCATGTTGTTGCAGGCCTGGGCTGGACCCATGGTGCGGGTGTTGATCCCCATAGGTACATTGATATACCATTGCCCTCCATCTAACACACTGGGCATTGGATCAGGGCTTTAGAGCTAAGGTGTAACTGCAGGAGAGGAAGGGAATGGATCCATCCTCAGTTTGTGCATCCTCTGCCCTGTGCCACGGCCACAGCCCAGAAGCACCGAACAATTAAATGTGTCCTGCATGTTCAAAAGTTTCAGAGAGGGAGCCGTGTGTGATGTAGGGGGGATTTTGTCCACTCTTGTAATCCACTGTGTTCACTCTGGTTTTGCATTCACTGTTTGCTTTGTTGTGCTGTGCGTGATTCCTACTGTCCTATGTGGCTGTGCAGTGACTCTGTGTGTGTGCATGCGTGCATGTGTCTGCCTGCCTCAGTTTCCCTGGGCACTGCAGTACTATCTGCATGAGGCAGGGAAGGCTGGCCATGACTCACTGTGGAAGTATGTCAGTCATTCAAGCCCTGAGGACCAGGTGACAGCAAATATCACCCTGGGCCTGGAAGCAGGACAAAGCAAAAGACCAGGCTTCCCAGGGGGACTGTGAGCAGTGGCTGTGAGTGTGAGTTAGTTTTCGGCTGGCTGAGGGAGAAGGGACGCTGGCTGGCCTGTGGGGACAGGGCCCATAGCTGGGGTGCTAGGCCCCCCCTTTCCCCAAGGAGATTTGTACTGAATGCTCCTGGTTCCTGTAACAACGAATCTGGGCTAGGCGGTGTCCCTGTGAACCAATACACCTTCTGGTCTACCTGTGGGCTGAGAGTCATGTGACTGCGGATGGGGGTGCAGGGCTCAGTGACTCCCCCACACTCCATGACACCGTGTTAGTCTGTAACTGGAAAAACTTAACAGGAAGTAGGCATGGGAATAATCTTGCAGCTCCTTAGAGACTAACAAGGTACCACCTACAAATGTTGTGAGTCTGACAGGTGCTGCAAGACTATTCCTTATTTTTAAGGTTTGTTTTTTTTTTCAAATAAATGTGTGTGTGTGGGGGGGGACGACAA